CCTGCTGGAGTTGTTCTCATCCCCAGCAGGGAAAGAATGTCCCTCTTCCATTTTGGATCAATTGCATTTCAGTATCACAAAAACCCATTACATTCAAGTCAGTAATACAAGCCTATTTTGCTCATTTCTCATGCAATTTGACAGATCCAACTTGTGAGATGGTGTTTTCTTGTGGCAACTCTGGGTCATTTTAGCTTGGCTTGAGTCTTGGCACCACATGCTAGCTGTGTGGTCTTCGGGGGTGTAGTTAGCTTCTGGTTCCTTGCACTTATAACGCAAGGAACACACACCATTGTCCTGACAATTCACTGGCTGGCATGCAATTAGTTCTATTAAAATATGGCTATTTTTGTGAGTTGATACTGGGTGTACAATTGCAAGTAGGAGACATACTCATCCTTAAGATGCTTGTAGGCTAGAGTCAGTTGGGTTTATTTCAGTTCAACTATTTGTTCACAGATGAACAATAAAATATATTGTCCCCAAAAGATAAATGTCCATAAAGGCCAATATTTGTACACAAATAATTATAATAAGTACAATAAAAAAGAAAGGTGCACAAGGAAGGGACAGAAGATATAGGCAGAGCAACTGGCAGATTTGAAAAATGATAGAAATGTGATGCAGACTGCCCTGGCCTGCATTTCCCAAAGTCTCCACTGGGAAGCCAGAGTGGGATCAATGCACTACACTAACAGCAGCAAACAATGCAAAGAGAGGGCTGGGGATGTAGCTCAGTGGTGCGCCTGCCTGGCAAGCACAAGGTTCTGAGTTTGATTCCTGCTGCTGAGAAAAAAATGCAAACAGGAAGAAAGCTAGGTTTTGAGCCAACATTTGCAGTGTTAACCTCAAATCAGTCAAAAAGGATTGGCTGACCAGGAGGAAGGGAAAGGCAACACTAAACAAATGAGGCATCACAGTGCTCAGCAAGTCATCAGCAAAAGAGGGATTAGCTGTGGCTTCAGCTGGAGTTCCAGGGTCTGGAACTTCATTCTCATGTGTGGTTTTCAGTTTTTTGCTTGTTGGTTGTCATAGTTTAGCTCTTGAATATCCTCTCAAAACTTATGTGTTGAAGGCTTAGATCCTAAGGTGGTGCTAGTTGCAGGTGGGGCCTAGCAGGATGCCCTTAGGTCTTTGGTGGTGTGCCTTCAAAAGGAGAGACTGTTCCTCAGCCCCTTCATCTTCCTCTTTCACTCTCTGGCTTGTGATGTAGATGGGTTTACTGTGCCACAAGTTCAACAGTGCCATCCAGCAATCCCAACAGAGGGCCAAAGCAATGACTACACCTGTTCTTGGACTAGAAACTCTAAAACCATGAGCCAAAACATATCTTTCCTCTTAATAAATTAGTTATCAAGTATTTTATTATAGCAACAGAAAGCTAATGTACTGACGTTAAAAAATTAAAAAAAAAGCCCCAAACTACTCAACCCCTCCACACCTTTAAGTGGACATTTACATTTCTTTGTCATTAGTTTATAGATGCAAAAATACATTTTCTAGGATACTGCGGACAAGCTTTCAACATATTTTTGCCAAATTTCTCTTTTTTTTTTCTCCCCTATTGGGGACAAAACCCAGGGCCTTTGCACTGAGCTATAATCCCAGACCTATATTTGAGGTAAGGTCTTGCTAAATCACTAAGTTACATAAGCTGGGCTTACATCTCCATGCCTCAGCCTACCAGAGTAGTGGAATTATAGGCATGCACCACTACACTGGCTTTTTGGCATAAGCTGAACCCATTTGGCTTGTTTTCCTTATGAAAAATAACCACTCTTTGACCTGCTTTCCAAAGCCAATCCTCACTGTCAACCTGTCAACCAAATTCAAGTCACAAGGCAGTGGCAGTAGTGAGGAGCAGGCACAGATGATTTAGAATAAATAGGGCACATCAGTCATTGGATGTAGGAGTGGGAAAAGATAGGTAGGAGGTAAGCAGGGAAGATTTGATAACTGATTATGACAGGGTGGAAGAAGAAGGAGGGGCTGGGCTGACCTACATAAGCAACAACCCCTGCTTTGGGCATAGAGATTGTATCTCTCCTACTGTGAAGTCTACAGGAATAGCAGGTAGCAGCCACGCACATTTACAGCATGTGAAACAGAGGCTGGAAACAGTCCTTTAATTCCCCCTGGGTGGGGGGGTACTGGGGATTGAACCCAGGGCCTTCACCCTGAGCTACATCCCAGCCCTATTTTATTTTTTATCTTGAGATAGGGTCTCCCTAGGTCTCTAAGTTGCCTAGGATGGGCTCGAACTTGCAGTCTTCCTGCTTCAGCTTCCAGAGTGCTGGGATTACAGGCAAATTCCTAACTTTTTGTAGGGTTCACATACACTGTAGAATAAACCTTGCCTGCCCGGGTCACCCAAAATTCCACCCTTTCTTATAAAATGTTTGTCCATTCAATGTGATTCTAAGTCATCCTGGTATGTAAAACAGCCCAACATACTTTTTCTCAAAGGGTAAATCACATCTGCTTTTAGCCTAGTGCTGGATGCAATGCGAAGAACTGAGGAGATACAGTTTTTTTAAAGTCTCCATTAATAAAAAGCTAACTAAAATAAATCCTCTCACACAGGACTGATATTTCATAGTAAATATAAAAAATACATTTTGATTAGAACTTTATCTTAAACTAAATTGTATGAAAAAAAGTTTATGTTAATAGGTTATACTTGCAATTATAAGCTAATGCTTGGGATAAAAATCAGTGGAATGTGTTTTAAGTGTGTAGACAATTACTGTAAGACAATTTATCACTTCACATGGGGAATGCTGAGGAGGGTAAGGAAAACAGATTACAGAGATACCAGGAGGTACAGCTTCACTCACTTTGGCTTGGAACTGAGCTGTGTCAATGTCACCTGTGAATTTACTTCCCAGTTGATAATGCCAGCAACAGAAGACTCCTACACATTACTGAGCAAGCCAGGTATAATTAGGCCTTTTAAGAAATTCAAATTATAAAAAAGAGATAGATTGGATGAAATTTTCCCATCTTGCTGATTATAGAGTGACCAAAAAAGGAACTATTTAGGGCACTTGAACTATTCTCTATGGTTTTGTGGTAGTGGATGCATAACTTTAGCCATCTGACAAACTCCAAAGAAATGCACACTACAAAGAATTTACTGTGCACAATTTAAAGAGGGGTCCTGAATAGGATGAGCCTGTGACAAACGAACTTAATTATATGACATAACCTCACCAAAAGGGGTGAGGAAAAAGAAGAGAGAGAGAGAGGGAGAGAGAGAGAGACACATTTCAAATGCTACTCATGCTACTCAGTTATTCCCAGATCACTGAGCGGGAAGAGGATATTCAGGAAGAAAAGAAGAAGAAAAAAAAATAGGGCATTACTCTGCTAATAGCTTTACATTACTTATTTCAATAACCATGACAACAGTCTTACAGATACTGTCTCCAGTTTGTACGTGAAAAATTGATACCTGGAATGCTCATAAAATTTAAACATCAGTCAGCACATTGTATAAAATTCAAAGCAGAGAAAACTTCCTTAGGTTCAAACTCTGAATGTTTCTATCAAGATGATAATTTGGAATATCCATAAAGACTACAGAAATATATCCAGTTGATGAAGTTTTTGTAGATGAATGAATCTGCATAATTGCAAAGAGAGGATGAGAATTCAACTGGAATACAAACTCACGTACAAGGATGTAAAAATATATGTAGGTAACAAAGGATCAGCAGATAACAATAAAGGGGTTGATATAGAGAGAAAACCCCAACAGGCCCAGTACAGCCATTCTACTTGGAAAAGCTGAGAAACAGGTTAGTTTCCTTTAGGAACTGGAGTAAACCCATTTTATTAGAAGAGATTGGAAACTAACTTCAGAACCACTGTATATGTGTTGCTTATAATTCACTGCACATATATCCATACATAAAGCCACTGTTCATTAACTTTATAAAGAAGCTAAAGTGAAAGTCAGGTGTGGTTACAAGTACATGCCTATAATCCCAGCACTCTAGAAGGCTGAGGCAGAAGGATGCCTATCCTTTGCAAGACCCTGTCTCAAAACAAAAACTAAGGGGTAGGAGTATAGCTCGGTGTGAAGGCCCTGGGTTCAACCTTCTATACCTTCCCAAACAACGCTAAAGTAAATATTTAATAACTATGTATATATAATTATATAATATGCTTTATGAAATCATCAATACAATCCTAATAAACTATATATTAATATCTCCAAGTATATAAATGATTGGGGAGGTTAAGTAACTTACCCAAATTTACACAATCCTGTACAATAAGCACTCTCCCACACAGAGTTACACATACCTAGTAATACACTGAGACAAATACATCATTAAGCAACTTTGTTGAAAACCTCAGAGTGTACTTACACAAACTAAGATGGCTATAATGTCACTAGGTGCTATCTGATGGGACCATCTTTGCATGTGCTGTCTGATATGGACTAAAATGTCATTATGACTATATGTATGTATATCTACATATACACATATATGTATATAAAAATAACCATTGTGTGAATCCCTTCTATAATCCCCTATGCTTGAGTATGGGAACATCATTTCTATGATTAGGTTGCTAATCAATCAATTCTGACTTAATGAAAAGGGAGATTATCTAAGATGGGAATGACCCAATCAGATGAGTCTTTTATTTTATTTCATTTTATTTTATTTTATTTATTTTTTGGTACCAGGGATCGAATTCGGGTCCTTGCGCTTGTGCAGCAGGTGACAAAATCACTGAGCTAAATCCCCGGCCCAGATGAATCTTTTAAAGACCCTGATGTGTCAGAGAGAAATTTGAAGTAAACTATCATATTCTGGAAAGGATCACAATAAATAAGGACAGGATGTGAGAATGGCCTCTAGGAATAAAGAATAGTAGCCAGCTGACAGGAAGACTATGGGCTTCTGCGTCATAAGATTGCAAGTAAATGAACTCTGGCAATAGCTTGATGTGTTAGTCAGGTTTTTGTTGCTGTGATGAAATACCTGAGAAAATTCCTTAAAAGAAACTTCATAGCTTCAGAAGTCTCAGTCTGCAGTCACTGGGCCTTGTTGCTTTGGACCTGTGTTGGTACAGTAGATCATAGCGGCAGAAGCGTGTGGTGGAGGAAGTCTGTTCATCTCATGGTGGCTAGGAAGCAGAGAGAGGGAGGGGTAGGGTTCCAATATCCCCTTCAAGGCCATATTCCTGATGACTTATTTTTCTCCAAGTAGAGTCTACCTTTTAAAGGTTCAACCACCTCTCAATAGTGCCACAGGTTAGAGATCAAACCTTCAGCATATACGCTGTTAGAGGAACAATGAAGACACAAATTCTAATATCTGAGGACCCCTGGAAGCAGACTTGTACTTTGCAGAGCCTCCATATGAGTATGAAGTCAGCAGATATCTTAATTTCAGCCTCAGGAGACCCTTAGCAGAAGAATTAACTAAAACATTTCAAACTTCCTAGTCCACAGATACTAAGGTAATACATTTTTGTATGATTTAGGCCACTAGGATTGTCAGGAGCAATGCTACAATAATTTTAGGGAAAAATCATTTGATTAGGTGTAGTTCTCCTGCCTACAGGCCAGCTATGGCATTTCAAGACATAATTCCATTTTGGCCTCTGGTCACAACTGAGACCTCAATGATCCAGTGATGCTGTGATGCTCCAGGTCAAGGTTATCCCAGATGAAGACATCCTAGGAGGAACAAAATCTTCATATACTCAGTTCCTCATTGTTCTTGGATTTCCAGCTGCCCCCAGTCATTTGTTACACTTTGTTTATCCCTAAAATGTGTCAAGCTCTGGGCTTTCATCTTTGCTGCTCAGAGCAGCATTGATCTGGCCCAAAGCTCAGCTTCTTCTCCAAGTCTCATGTTTTTCTACCCTTCCTGTATAATAAGTTAATTTGCCTTGTGCTGCCGTGCCTCACAGGAAACTAGGACTCACTGCAGAGGTTCTAGTAATGTCCCCTTTCCCTGTTCCCTACAAGGATTGTGGCAATTTCTGAGTTTAACAACAGGAAACAAATTAAAAATACGTAATTCCTTAAGTTTTTAAACTTTGTTTTTTGGTGGTACTGGGGATTGAACCCAGGGTTTTTGTACTGAGATTAATTCCCGGCCCTGTCATGCATGGCCTGAATGAGACCTTTTCAAGCAACTAGGTTGCTCTCAGCAAACAAGCTATTCTCAGTAAATAAGACAGACAGCCATAAAGAAAATTTAAGCAAGGAGAGTATATACAATCTACCTGGTGCCTAGAAGTCTGGTGGTTGTCTGTACTCCTGCACTGACCATTATTGGACCCTCAGTCATAAACATTCCTTATGACCACAGACCCCTTTTCAAGACCTATATAAGCCTAACTCCCTTCCCAGCTAACTGCTGGTCTCTGCCTCTCTTGATATCAGCCCATCCACATACAGATGTAATAAATTAAGCTTTTCCCAGTTAGCTGCTGAAATCTGCCCCTGATTTCAGTCTTTGTTCACTGGAATAAAGCTTTTTTTCACAAAGCCTGTTTCCAAGTAGCCTCACATGTGTCATTTATAACAAGCCCTTTTGTATTTATTTTGAGACAGGGTCTTGCTAAGTCATTAAATTGTTCAGGGTGGGCTTAAATTTGACATCCTCCCACCTCAGCCTCCCACAGTGCTGGGAATACATGTGTGTGCCACCATGCCCCATTTTATTTTTTGAGTATAGAGTCTCACTATGCTGCCAAGCCTGGCTTTGAACTCCTGGGCTTAAGTGATCCTTCTGCCTCAGCCTCTTGAGGAGCTATCTGGGACTAGAGGAATGTGTCACTGTGTCTCACTTTTTTTTTTTATAAATAGAAAACTTTGATTTTCTTTTTCTGATTATAAAAGTAAATGATTACAACTGGGGATTTAGCTCAGTGGTTCCACCACCTACCTCACAAGCACAAGGTCCCGAGTTCGATCTCAGTATGAAAAAAAAGAAAGAAAAAAGCAAGAGCTATGCAAAGGGCTGAGGGTGTAGCTCAGTGGTAGATTCTCTATATCAAGGAATCTTACAGTACCATCACTAAATATTATTTATATTTTTACATTTTTAGTGCAGCATTTTAGTGGGATTTTTAATAAATTAGCATGTAAATGGAGGAAAATAAACAAGATGATAGGTTCATGTTGGCATTTTAAATAAATGGAATTAGATATTTTTGTACAGATATGGAAGGCAAAACCAGAACCATCAACATGGATGATGAAACAGGCAAGTTTTTGGATCAACAAAAAATGTAATTCCAAAAAGTGACATCAATCTATAGATGAATTGGTCTGTTTAACATACTGTCACCAGTGATAGGTAAGGGTGGGGGACAACCTGCAGAGATGTTGAGGGAATTTCCAGCTATAAGTGCAAGGCTGAATGTTTTTAATGTCTCCTACTGTAGACTAAAGTGTCTTCTGCCCAAATCGAATAGCAATAAAATCCCTACAATAAGGGTCAGTCTGGAAAGATCAAGCTCAAGAAAAATGAGTTCTGTTCTTTTAGAATGGCCAGTTTTGGACATCAGTGTGCTCTGGGAAACAAGGTTGTGCCAGTCGAACTTTAGGCAGAACAGAATCTTTGGATTTCTTGTGCACGACCTGTTTGTGACTACTGCAACATACAAATCATCGGATTTAATGGGCTGTACTGTCGTACGCGGTCCTTCCAAGCTAGTAATACATAACATCATCACCTTACCCGAAGTAGGTTACTGTTCTTGTTTTACAGGTGAGGGTCATATTCACACTATTGATAGCAGCAATAGGCTCTTGACTGGAACTAGCGCCTGTGTATGTCTAAGGTAGTGTCCGTTTGACTCATCTGATGGCCCAGGTAAGCACTCCATCACTTTCGCTTCAGCTTTTGAAGAGTAGCGGAATATTACTGAACACATTGTACTTTCCCAGTTGAAGATTTCAGATCCAGAGGCTTTCTCAATGTATTTATAACTGCTAGGGGCATCGAGAATAGTCCTTTCGTGGGCTGGCCCTAATCCAACACTACAACAGCTGTCATTACACATCACAGAGAACCTGCGCACCTCAAGTTGTGGCGTCTACTCCAAGTTTCCGTGAAAATGAAGTAGGGTCAGGGTCACCGGCAGATGACGTACTTCCGGGGCGCTGCGCAGGCAGGTCGCCGAGGCGGATGTAAGAGGAGAGGCGGAGTTGGCGGGGCGTTGCTGAGGGTGACCAGGCTGGGGGTTTGAGCTTTTGGCTGGCGCTCGGCTGGGGCGGGGCGGGGCTTGCTGCCATCGCCTGCCTCTGGGCTGTAGGACTGAGCGGGGAGCGGCCTCCGCAGAGTCAGGCGCACTGACGCCTTGGGTACCCTGAGAGCTGGGTCATTGCGGGCCTCTAATTGTGTCCTGTGCGGCTCCGGCCTCGGGTCCCCTCTCAGCTCAAGGCGTCGCCACTGGCGCCACCGCCCGAGTCGCAGGCCGCTGCGGGCCGCAGAGCCCATGAAGGCGCGGGCCCCGCCCCCGCCCCCGCGGCGCCACCGCCTTCTAGGAGCGCTCCGAGCCGGTGCGGGCATGGCAGCAGCCTGAGCGCCGGGCTGCCGTGGGAACTGGAGGGGAAGGCGGTGCCCCTGCCGGAGGCGGGAGCCATGGCAGAGAAGCGCGCGGGCGCGCAGGCGGCTGGCGGCAGCTGGGTGAGCCACGGGCGTGCCCGGGTCGGGGTCGGGGATCGGTAGCCGATGCCCTCTTCCGGCACCTTCTCGTTAAGACAAAAAACTTGAGGCGATTTGGTGTTTCAAAATGCAGAGTTATTGGGTTACTTGAGAGCTCTCCGTCACTGTACAACTTGACACGGTTTTGGGGCGCATTGTCTGCCAATGCCAACTTGGATAACGAGCTGGAATCCCCTAGAGCCACACGCTAGCCCCAGACTCTCAAGTAGCCGCGGCGAGAGCGACCAGCACCCTCCTGCTCCTTTCACTTTCTCCAAGCAGCCAGGGAGCGTTTGGCCAAGGGGAAACTGCTCATCCCAGGGCCCGGGAGGAGCAAGTTCAGGCCAATCTCTTTGGTGTTACTCGAAGTTGGGATGCCTTTGACACCAGTGCAAGAAAGCCTGGGTTTCCTTGACCTGGATTTGGCAGAACAGGCCTTGTCAGTGGCACGTTGGTTTCCTATGGTGGAATACTAAGCACAGACGAGACGGCTGTCATTTTTTCGGTCCTAAGTGTAAAAGTATGGGGGGGGAGGAGTCTATTTGGAACCTGAATTATAGAAAAATGTTATAATGAACACAAATAGATAACCATAGAAAAGTTTCTCCAAAGAAAACTAGGATTTTTATGAAAAATACGTGATCAGCCTTAGACGTTAAAACTTAACATCTCTTTTTTTAAAAGAATGCTAAGTAATTATATGTACATATTTCGTAAAGTGAATCTCCGTTAGTAGAGTTGGGAGAGTCATAAAGTAGGAGCAGTAAGTAGGATGCAGCTATCGGAGCTGGTTCCTAGTCGTGGTTCTGCCAGAGCAAGGTCACTTTTGTCTGAGTATTGCCTAGCCATTCAGTGGTTAATCAGTAAATGAAGGTTTAGTGATGTTGAAGGTCCCTTGTGATTCTTTATTTTTGAAAAAGCATTGGCGGGCTCATTTTAAAAATAAGATGTTTCTAATGAGGAAAACTTTTCTTGTGAAGGTGGAGGGAAATCCTGTAGAACTGGTTTCTCTCTCTCTCTCGTTTTTTTTGGTACCGGGGTTCGAACTCAGGTCCTTGCACTTGTGAGGCAGGCGGTGGAACCACTGAGCTAAATCCCGGGCCCCTGGTTTCTCTCATTTTGATTTTGATTAAGTGGACATGACATCTTCTAGCCCCTACGCAAGCAAAACCACCAGGTCCTTTTGTCTTCCTTGAACTGATAAACAGTAGTTACTAACCAGTGGCCAAGCTAGTAATTTAAGAGTTAGTTTCCTTCATCTCTTCTCACTGCACTAAAAGGTCCAGTTATCTTTACCAGGTATAGATTTTAGATTTCCTCTTCTCTGCATTCGTAGGATTCATTTCCTCAGCATTCTTGACTTAGACTTTGACCATCCTTTGTAAGACTTGGTCACTTCACCATCAGTCTGCCCACCACATGGCTGATTAGTATGATCTAATATATAAATATAATCATTACTGCTGTCCTTAAATTTTTTTATTGGCTCCCTGTGGCTTACAGAATAATAAATAAACTGCTAGGTAGAAGCATTATTAGCATAGTGATTAGGAAAGCATGCTTGGAATTCTAGTTTCCACCTTTATTATTTGTGTAATTTTGGTAAAGTTACATAATCTCACCTAATAGTATTCACTACATAGGATTGTGAGGGCTGCTGCAACTTGCATCTAGTAAGTCCTTAGTAAATATTAAATGCTGTTGTTACTCTCAATATTTTTTGTATGTATGAATTGTAAATGATCACAAACCATAGGTGATCCCCGGACTGTAGTAAAAAATATTGTCTCCAATTCCCAATCTAGACAGGAAGTAGACCCCAACTTGAAAATTAATTAAGGGTGGGAACTGTTGAAGGATGTTTACTCAAAGAAACTAGAGATCCAATTTATTCCCCATTCTTTCTCATTTGGATCTTGCTAATCTACTAATTTGGGGCACAGATTCCTACCCAATCTTTCCCTGTATCTAAAAGTGGATGGACTTGGTGTTAATGCATCAACTCTCACAAATACTGAGTATTTTCTTAATGTTTGGTGTAGTGAGATGATTAGCATGGATAGGTGCCAGAGCTTTTCTGAGTGTATGAAAGCTGGGAAAGCAGTGAATGCCTTTAATCATGGGTGTTTATGTCATGTGCTGGTACTCCCAAATTATGCATATTTTTCCTGCTTGCAATTTCTTTTTACTATCACTTCAGATGCTGTGTCCTGCAGCCTTCATGATTTGGCTTCATTTTAATGTGTTGTAATTTCCTTATAGCTTGGTTCCTGTGACACTTGTAGTTTCAGGTTCTTACTTTGTAATCACAGGGAGGACTGCCCATGAAAAGGTAATCAGCTGATAACATATTTTAAAAATCTCATTTAGCACAGAGATATATTGACCTGAAAAAGATAAGGAGATTTCATGAACTGAAAAATAGAAGGGAAGCCTGGTGTAGTGGCACACACCTGTAATCCCATCCCTCTGGGAAGGTGAGGTGGGAGAATCTGAAGTTTGAGCTCAGCCTGAGCAATTTATCAAGACTCTATCTCAAAACAACACAAAAAAATAAAAAAAGGGGCTAGGCATGTAGTTCTATGGGAAGGGCTTAGGTTCAATCCCCCATACTATAAATAAATAAATAAAGGAAGTAATCAGTATTTCCTTCATGAGATTAATTCTGTCTAGAAAAGAGAGGTGTTTGTATACAATGTGCTCTCTATTCTCTGTTATATCTCTGTTATATCTCTGCTGTGCATTCACACACATTTTGAGATGTTGTATAAGAATCATTTGTATTATAATTGATTGTAGATTTTCCCATTATGCATAACACAGGTAAATTCATTTATACTTATGCTTTAGGTAAGTGTGGGACTGCATAACCTTTGCCCCTTTTTCTCCAGCCCCATTGTGATTAAAATGTGAGTTAATAGATGGAGATGTAAGGGTCAAGGATTTTTTGCAAATAAAATACACTAAGTTTAGGGTAATATTTCAGGGTGTTTATAGATTCCAAGAAGCCAGTGTTTGAATTCTAGTTAAGAGTGCTCATATGAAAGATCGGTATCATTTTGGTGACATTTGAAATCTGGAGTTGATTTGCCTTAGATAGCATCAGGAATCCCTGTGAAAGTTAATGTTGATTTTTTTTTCTTAGAGGAATATAGGCAAAATGGAGGAGCACCTTCTATATTTAAAAAAGTAGCCAAAATGACAGGGTATGTTTTGTTTATAAAATAGTGAAAGGGCTTAGGGAAAAACGTAATGATAAGCTTTCAATTTTTAACATTGTTAGGAGCCAGTTTGATAACATAGTTCTGGAACATTAGCACAGACAAACTATGTAAATAAGGTATAAGCAAAATAAGCAAAAACAGCCATGAATAATTGGTATATGGCAGTTTATAAGATCAAATATGTCATTCATTTATGGCAGAAACATCTATATTTAGAATTATTCAAATCTGTAGTTAATTTAGTTAAGCCTGCATTTTATCAGAACAGAGACTCTTTACTGTTGTGTTCTTAGGCCTGGTTGGGTTGTTTTCTTGTATTTGAAGTTTTTGAATTCTTTATATATTTGGGATGCAAGTCCTTTATCAGATGTTTTCTTATTTTTCCTTATTTCTAATCTGTGGTTCATCTTTTCATTCTCTGAGCAGTGTCTTCAAGAGCAGAAGTTTTCAATTTTGATGAAATTAATATTTGTTCTTTCATAGGCCATATATTTAGTTTTATATTTAAAAAATCCTTGCCTAAAAGTTTTAACAGTTGTACTTATGAATTAATTTTTTGTAGGTGCCAGTTACACATGGAGGATTTTGTTTTTTATTTTGTTTAGTTTGGTTCTTTTTTTTTTGCTTTTGGATGATCAATTGTGTCATTAACTCTGAAGACTATTGTTTTCATTCACTAATTGCTTTTACACCTTTGTCAAAAATCATTGTCCATACATATGTCAGTCTATTCCTAAACTCTGTATTCTGTTCCTTTGTCGTATATTTGTCTTTACATCAGCAGCACACAATCTTGATTATTAGAGATTCAGAATAAGACTTGAAAACAATAGAGTTTGTCCTTCAAACTTGTTTTATTTTAGAATCAGATTCCACCTCACCCCAGAAAGAATGGCTGCTATCGTGAAATCAACCAATAACAAATGCTGGCGGGGCTGTGGGGAAAGAGGAACCCTGCTCCACTGCTGGTGGGAGTGTAGACTG